GAAGCCACATCTGGCCCCCGGGCCTTAATTTCCCCACTCCGATCTAGTAAAAAAGGACCCCAAAGAAGGCTCAAGGAGATACTCTTAGGCTGTGTCTAGACTGCATCCCTTTTCCATAAGAGGGATGCAAATTAGACACATCGCAATTGCAAATGAAGCGGGGATCTAAATCCCCCCCATTTCATTTGCATAAAAATGGCTGCCGCTTTTTTCCGGCTCGGAGCTTTGCCGGAAAAAAGTGCCAGTCTAGACGCAGATCTTTCGGAAAATAAAGCCTTTTCCGAAAGATCCCTTATTCCTCTTAAAATAAGGGATAAGGGATTTTTCGGAAAAGGCTTTATTTTCCAAAAGATCCGCGTCTAGACTGGCGCTTTTTTCCCGCAAAGCTCCAAGCCGGAAAAAAGTGGCAGCCATTTTCATGCAAATGAAGTGGGGGGGGATTTAAATCCCCGCTTCATTTGCAATTGCGATGTGTCTAATTTGCATCCCTTTTTACAGAAAAGGGATGCAGTCTAGACACAGCCTTAAAGATCAACTCTAGCAACCCTCCCCGCCACCCCACACACTCAGAGATACTTCATCATGAAGGGTGTCAGGATAGGTTATGGTGTTTCCAAATTTCCACCTCAGAAGAAAGTACTATGCTTTTGGCAGAACAACATGGACAGGGCTGTGACTGTCTTTTCTCAGGTAGTCTGCTGTGTGCATCAAAATGGACACAGGTTCCTCCTCTAGCAGCCCGGGGAGGGTCAGAACATGGCAGAACTGAAATGCACTGTGGGAAAAGAGCATTAGAATCCTAGCCCCAGTGAAGTCAATAGTAATATTCTTCCCAATGATAACGGGCCAGGATTTCATTCGGCTACTTAGCACTATTCATCTATTGCAAAGTAACGGAGGACTAGTATCAGAGACTTCATGTTACGGGTGAGAAAAAGACACACAGAGTGGAAGTGACTTGCCCAAGGGTGCAAAGTAAGAATTAGAAATCAAGGTCCTACATTCCCAGGCCTGCTCTGCCCTCCCCTCCCTCCAACTCCACTGGCATGTCAATACAAAATCCCCTCAGGCATCACCTTTAAAACAAGTTAAGTCTTTAGCAGCAAGTGGCAGGCTCACTGCCGCAGACTTCCTGTTCTGCCATCTTCCAGCATCAGAGCAACCACAGATGCTGTTGCTTGCAGTACTGCAGAGGAACAAAAAGCCTGCAATGTGAAGGGCTAATGTCTCACCTTAGCAGCGAATAAGTTTCCCCCCCTCACAAGAAGTGAAATTTGCAATGGAAATCCACTCCCCCAGCAACTCTTTTGTAGAACAGAGGTGAAAAGGAGATAGGGAGCTAGAAAGGTCTATAGCAGGGCTACTCAACTCAATATTCACAACACATCCCAGGGCTGCAACTTAAGTGTGGTTGCACATACATGCAAATAGCTTCTTTCACACTGAGGGGCATGAATACAAAGATTAAGATAAGACTGCACAACACACAGGTCACATTTAAGTCAGTTCTGCTGATATTAATAAAATGCAACACTTACCCAATTTCCACCCATATGACAGCACTTTTAATGAGCAATGACAGTCCAGGAATTTAACTACTAAAATGCATATTAACAAAAGACCATTATACTGACTAGTTTTTTGTTTTGTCTCCCACCCGTAGGCTGCATGTTGAGCCCCACATAAACCCAAACTGCACCGCGTGCCGCAAAGAAATGGGCTGCGGGCCGCATGGGGTCCACAGGCCGCGTGTTGAGTAGCCCTGGTCTATAGATTTATTATGTATACCCATCCTGTAGCATTAGGGACTAGACCCTCAGCAGGTATAAACCGATGCAGTGCCACAGAAGTCAATGGACCTATACTAAATAATACCAGCTGAGAATCGGATTCTATGGCTGCAAAGCCACTTCAGGGCTCTTGGAAGTACACAGAAAGATTTTTAGCTCAGAAGAAACCTCTTGCTGAGGGGAAGCAAGAAGGTGATACACATTATGTATTACTGGTGCTGCCTCTCTCATTCCAAGAGCAAGCATGGGTTTAAAACTGCATCCCTATTTTCTTAACTTTTAGCCGAGGAGTTATTTATTTGGAAGGGAGGAGAACCTTTTCCTTTGCACTATTATTTCTATTAGGGTAGTATGGAGGAAGATCAAGGATCTGGGCCCCATGTGAACTAGACTCTGTGCAGACAAGTAAAGATAAGCTTTGACAGCAAAGGCTCTCTGCTACACAGAAACACAATCTAGTTGCTGAATGGGACTGCAAATCAAGTTTACTTTAAAAAAAAAAAAGTCACACCAAAACTTCATGCAAATGACATTCCCCTCCAGTGAAGCCCAATGAACAGTCACATGGACACAGGGTACATGAAGACAAACTTGGCTTTTACAGTGCAGTATCACAGTTGAAAAGATGTCTCCTTTTTGCCATCTGCTGGTAGACCAGCAGCACAGCAGAGATTCACCTTGGTTCTCTCTTCCCAGCACCCACCCCACAAATTTTCTTTCCTTGAGACTGGCCCTCAATCCCAGGAGACAAGACAGCAGATTGTACAATTTGGCTATTAAACCAAAATAGACATTAGGGATGACACACCTTTCTGGGGCTTAACAATAATGGATGCCCTCCTCAAATACCTGCAGCAGCTTGCACTGCTCAGGTAGTCCCTGTGCTAGACAATAGCCAGCTTTGCAGGAGAACGCACATCACCGACGGTGGGATATTGAAAAGCACCAACCTGTACTAGGAGTAGACAACCCATTGACCCTATTTTTCCATGAAGTTTGATAACGGAGAAGACACTGGACTTGTTCCAGGAAATGGTAGCCTCAGCAAGCCAGTCTCCTTCTCAACTTATTTCTCTGCCTTGATGTTACTAAGGAAATGACAGTAACTACTGCTAATACTATCATCTGCTCTGGCTGCTTATTCCTCCCACACAGCCCCATCCTACTTCCAGTGGTATCTGTGGGAGTTTTGCCATTATCTTCCACAGCAGCAGGATTTAAAGTACTTATCTGGCCCCTTTTACCAGCATACAGATCTTCAACACCCCTGTGAGTAGGGAAGTTCTACTCCTCCCCTCTTATAGGTAAGGAACCAACATACAATGAAACTCAGTAATCTGGCCTGGTACATACAGGGAAAGGAACCCAACCCAGGTCTCTGCAGTCTAAGGCCAGCGCTGTATCGAGTGGATCACCCTTCCTCGTAGGATCAGAACCATACACTATTCATCCCCTTTGGCTCTGTCTACATGGACATCTTCCCATCAAGTTTCCTCATCATCCCAGCTCCAGCAGTGGTAGCGATGATAGGAATATGGGTTTACACAGACGACCTCTGTGCTCAGAACAGGCCTAGTGAAGGTGGAGTTTATAACGCTTAAGCTACGAGTATCCCACCTACACTCACAGCTACCAGCCAGGAGATAAACTGGCAGCAACGGGACTGGGAAAAGCGAGGGAAAATGGGACGGTAGACCAGGTCTGTGTGACAGAAGAGATTACTATGGAAGAACATAGTGTTTCCAGCAAAGAGAGACAGGCTTGGTCTACACTGGAAAGTGACATCTTCATAGCTACCTTAGTCAGGGGTGTGAAAATAACATCCCTGACAGGACTCCTGGACTCCCAATACAGCTATGTCAACAGAACACTTTCTGCCAATATAGGTAACTTCATTTGGGGAGGTGGTATCCCTACATTGACAGAAAAAGGCCTTCTGTCACTGTAGGCTGTGGCTGCACCAGGAGGCCATACTGGCATAGCTACATCAATGCAGCAATGAGAGTATAGCCTCTGTAGCGTAGATGTACCCACGACTTCCTGGGAGGAACGTCTGCTGCTGCTTCAATTCCTCTGCAAGAGGCTATTTTTCAGAGATGCTTCTTCAGGAACAGAAAAGAAAGAGCTAGCAGTCGCATTTCTAAATAGGCAGTTTCCTGCAGCAGCCCTTTAGCAAAACAGGTTAACGGCATTGCTTCTGATCTTACTATCGCCAGATATGCAAACCATGCTTCCCAAAGCGAAACAAGTCTTCACGATTTTCTCCAGGGACTCTACTGCAATCTCTTCAGATAAACAACATTCTTGCTTCACACAAAACTGCACAGTTCAGCCACAAATTGCCCACGGATCCTACAAATAGTTGCTCAGAACTAGGAGTGATGCCCAGAACTGGTGAGTTATCCAATTCCTTTCCACAGCACCCACTACATTTCCTACACCCACGGGAGTCCTCCACACCCTTCCCAGACTTCACGAGTTCCTTATATGCCGGCCAAGCTGAAGAAGAAGTACCAGAGTCCAGATAGGCAAGGCAGGTATGGACTAGGGATATTAGCTATCGTATAATTCAATAGTTGTGTAACTGCATAAAATACTACCAGTCATACGACTATGCAATGGTCCCCAGGGGCGGGGCCAGCAGTCAGTCTGTTCCAGCCCCACTCCTAGGGAGTTACCTGCCACCCCACGCTGCTGCCTCTATATCAGAAGCAACAATGAGGAGTAACAGGCAGGAGCTGGTTTGTGAGGTGAGCCAGTTTAAAAACCAGCTCCTCTCACAGACTGACTGCCTGCCGCCCCTTGCTGCTGCCTCTGATACAGAGGCAGCAGTGCAGGCTGGCAGCAGGGTCCCAGCTCCCCATGGACAGAGGCTGCTCCACAAAATAGGGGCTTCTGCCATGAAGCAGCCTCTGCTGGCATTGGACCGAGGCTCTCCGCGGAGAGAGGCTTCTCCAGGGGATGCGGAGTAGTTTCTTTCCGCAGGGCACTCAGGCCTGCTGCAGACAGAGGCTGCTTCGTGGCAGCTTCCCCTCCCCCCACACTGCTGCTGCCTCTGATAGAGGCAGCAGCGCAAGGGTGCGGGTCAGGTGGCACTGCAGAGCCAGTGCTGGCAGAAACTGGCTTTTAAGCCAGTTCCCTGCCTCCCCCTCCCAGCCATTGCTGCCTCTGATACAGAGGCAGCTGTGGGACGAAATGTGTGTAGTCAACAAGATTAGCTGATAAACCTAGGCTTATTGGTTAATCATATAGTCAAGGACATGCTGACATCCCTAGTATGGACTTTTATTTAAGAGTTTTGTTACTTCTTTACAACTTCAAATCTTGGCCTGAAAGGATAAGGAGAGCCGAGGTCATAAAAGTTGATGGTCTCATCACTTTGCTGTTTTAATAAAGTAGTGTAGCATTTCCAAAAACATAGGTGGATCAAACAGTCCTATCCCCTTCCCACTTCCCCCAACCATGGGGCCATAAGTTCCAGTGATGGGTTCAGACTACCCAATGGGTTAGTATAGTAATGAAGCCACCAGGCCACTACCTTCATAATCTTGGGGAGGAGGGAGATCAGAAGTAACAGATCTATGGGATGTTTCCTTAGCGCAGGCCGTCCAACAGTGCAAGGTGGAACACCAGAAAGCTCCTTGTAGTCTGTACAAATTATCAGAGAGTGGCTCAAACTGGAATCCAGTGCCAGGAAGAAACCCAGCAAGCATCAGGAAAATCAAAGAGTCAAGAGAGCAACGATGTCCAAGTGTGAGAAAGGGCGGGAGAAAGAGCAATTCTTAGCTAGAGTCTGAAGGAGGAGAAGATCCATGCAGCAAAAACAAAAGGAAACGCTCATCAGACCCTTGAGAGGAGCTTTGCTCTGAGCTGGAGGAGAAGCCATGTGCTGTCAGTGGCCACCCTGATCAGCAGCAGACAATGAAACTTCAAGAAGAGATTATGCTGGTGAACTGGTATGACCATCTCAGAATGATGAATGTGACTGTAGCTCCAAGAACAGCTCAGCCTGGGCTCCTTCCGTCTGAGGTTTAGGCAAGTATAAGATCTGGGCACACCACAGAGCATCTGCCTAAGAATCCACAGAGATTGGACTACTGCACTGTTGTCCTGGGCTTGGAGGAATCCCCATGTAAAGTTGCTAGGAGATAGTGAGAGAGTAGGCTGACTGGCACACCTTAACCAATCATCCACTGCCAATGCTGCAACACTCGTCCTTCCTTCCCCCCCATCTTTTTTCTCACCTCATGCATCCTCTCAACTCTTCTATTATTAGACTGTAAACACTTGGGGCACAGGGGCCTGGCTTTTCTCCTTAGAACCGTAGAACTGGAAGGGACCTTGAGAGGGCATCTAGTCCAGTCCCCTGCCCGCACCGCAGGACTAAGCATTACCTAGCCTATTCCTCCCAAGTGTCTGACTAGCCTGCTCTTAAAAATCTCCAATGCTGAAAGCACTGTGCACACTACAGGCACGGCCTATGGGTCACAGAATAATGAGTCCTATGTGGCACCAGAGGACACTAGTCCAATGTCGTTCCACACTGAAACGAGGCCCCTTTGTCTGCAGTTCCAAATGGGGGTTTGATCCCAGAAATGCCACCTGTTTTCAGGTGTAACACGTCCTCTTTGCCCAAATCACAACTCTCCCCACAACCTCTAGCCTAGTGGAGAAAACTGGCTCTGGACATGGTGCCTTCCATAAGAAACTAGCATATGCTGCCCTATGTCTTACCTACCCCACCTTTACGGAGGATCTAACCAAGGTGTGCCTTGAGGTTCCCTCCCAATAACCCTAATCCAAAGCGTGACGTGGCATGGAGACACCATCTCACACTCACTTCTGCTACACTATAGCCACCGACCAGGACAGCCACCTGCTTTGTGGCACTAGCCACAGCTACCAGAGCATGTGCCAGCAACTAGAACAACTACAACAGAACAACTACAGTCACCACGGTAGGGGAGATGAAGGCTTTTCTTTTTTGGCTGCCTCGGATTCCACTTCTGTCCTAGTACCAAAGAGAACAGCACCTGTCTCTTGCCACAGTGTCCTTTTAAGTCCATGCTACCTTCCGGGACATGGAGAGCTTCAAACACTCCATGTCCATGTCACCGGGGTGCAGGGACCTCTCCAGGCCCACCAGCATATCCCGATGACACTCACGAATGTTCAGCGGGTACCTGGCCCTCACAAATTCATAAGCTGCCATCAGCCTCATGTTGTGCTTCACCATCAGGTACTGGATGACACAGGTCGGGGCCAGGGAATAACCATCCAGGCAGTGGATTAGAACCCGCTTCCTTTTCTCCAGAGAGGCCTCAATGCACTCATTAATGTCCCAGAAGCAAGGCTCCCTCAGGGCAGGACACCCCCCATTCAGGGGGCCCTGGATGTCCACCTTGAGGCGGGACCAGCTGTGCTGGAGCCCTTCTCGACTGCATGTGCACGGAATGACATTCAGGATGCAGCTGCTGGGCAGGCTGCTCATGTCGATGATGCTGTCGATGTTGTTCCTGCACAGCACCCTCCCACAGTAGGCCGCATTGAGGTTCCCAAGATAGATGCAGTCCATCACCCTGCCGATGATGGGCTCTGAGAAGTTGAAGTATTCCGGTCCCCCTGACTTTGTGTCGCAGGGCTCCTCAGGCTTTGAAACCCCCTTTAGGCTGTAGTGGTGGGACTTCTTGGAACCACAGCAGGGCAGAGGGTTGGAATCCAACTCCACTCCGCTGTGCCGAGATGGCGGAGAGAACAGGGAGAACCGGCTGGAGGATTTGGCTTTGGCGAGCGGTCCCACTGGACTGGACAGGGAGGGAGAATCAGACCTGGAGGCACAGAAAAGGGACGCCCGCTCCAGAGACCCTGTGCTGCTGGCTGTCCCTCCACTGTTAGCCTGCTCCATCTGTAAGACAAAGAGACCAGTAAGACTTCTGCTCCAGCTGCTCGTGAAGGCCTGAGAGAACAGGGCTCTAGCAGAGGGGGCCAGACATGGCAGTAGGCCCGGCCAAGCAGTCAAGATATCAAATTGGTACTGGAGCAGAAGACATGAGAGGCTTTAAAAACCTCCAACATTTCTAGGCCCGGACATCTAACGAGTCATTTCCCCTTGTATCAGACATAGTCCATGCCACAAACACACCCAAATCACTCCCCACCTGAACCTGCAGACTCCTCCGCCATCTCTGGGACACCAGACCATCAGAGTGGCCATCCCCATCTGAGGAGAGTGAAAAGCAGAGCGTCCGATGTTTCCTGGTGGGCAGCTGGGGTGCAGGGGACACATTGTCCAGCTGTCGATTCAGGGCTTCATTCTTATTCATCATCAAGTTTGGACAGGAGCCTGCAGGGATAGAAAAGACCAGCCATGCACAGAGAGTGTTTTCATTATAACAATCTGCCTTGTAAAGACACAGGGTTCCATGCATCTTAATAAGCCTTACTTCAACACTCCCTCTAATGTTCAGCTGCTGCTGCAGGAATATTGTGATTCACTGAGAGAAGAGCTTGAAGCAATTATAGGAAGAGTATTTTCACTGGGTATTCCAGGGGACTCAGATGCTACAGTGAAATCTTTTTCAGCCTATTTGTCAACATGCTTGCAGTTTTCCCACTTCTTGAGAGGTGAAACAATAAAATATTGAGCTACGAGTCCATTTGCTTCCACAGTGTTTCAATACAGAATTTCAGTGAAGACCCAATGGTTCCCAAGAGCCCTTTTTTACATAGAAGATAGTGCCTAATAGCTTTACTGTGCAGTACCTCATATCTATAAAAGCACTAGTGCTAATCAGTCCTCAGATCCCTGTAAGTCAAGGTTTAAAGGAGGAGAGGAAACTGAGGCAAAGAGGCAGAATGATTTGTCTCACAAGCCACAGAAAAGCTCAATGAGCCATAATTTTATGCCACACTTCTTACTCCTCCCCCCTCCAAATGTTCTGTTCCATATGGAAGCAACAACACATACAGCTGACAGATCAGTTTCACTCCCTCTACCTCCACCTGTAGAGCACAGAGAAAGCCGAAAGAATGCTACAGCAGGGAGAGAAGTCCCAATGCACGCAGCATGTATCTCTCTCTAATTATGCTAATGCACAGCTGGTTTGGGAGTAGGGTGTGTTACACCTGAGTAACAGATCCACCTACCCTCTGAACATCAGCCTCCCACCTACCAGCTTTCTAGTCAGAACCAGAATTAGAAGCCATGTGTTTGTAGCTCCCAGCCAAGGATTCAGAGCTTATAGTGCTAAGGAAGCTGAGATATAACTATACATATTCTTTTAACTACAGAGTTCAGCAGAAGGCAACTGCAAAAGCCTCTCTCTCCCCCCCCCCTTCCTCCCCACCCCATTTCCAAACCAGTTAACAGTTAGCTTCTCCAATCCAAGATCATGGATTTTAAGAAGCACTGACCATGAATTCACCAATCTGTGCTCACACTGAGACTGCCACATAAGTGCGTGCATGTCAGTCTCTGCCCCCACAGAGCTTACAATCTAGAGACACAAGCGTCTGGGCGGAACATGCAAGATGCACAGACTGAGATCCAAGTAGGTTTACATGATTAACATTTTAAATCCCCTTCATGCCTCCCACCTCTGAACCACTAAAGCTTTTTTGAGTCATTAAGGCACTAACTAGTAACAGCAGAGCTGGAAACCCTCTATATATGTGTTCAAGAAGAGAGCAATAGCCCATCCACACTCCACACAAAGCTCCAAGGCCAGTGACTTCCCTGCTAACCAGATGCGCCTCAATATTTGTTTTGCTGCTCTCCGTTTCCCCAGGAGATGTGTAAAAGCCAGGTTTAAAAATAGGCAGCAGCTTGGAACATTTCACCTGCCTACACCCACCTGTGCAGTGCTGGGGAAGAGCCACAGAAGAGGAGAGCTGCAAGGAGCTGGGCATCTTAAAGGTTTTCTGAAGGTGCTTTACAATCAAGCCTGGAAAAGTGAAAGGGACATGAATATTAGCAAAGGCATAGCTTGAGTGATATGCTATATCAGGGCTGCTTCATATTATTAAGTACAGACCCATAGGACGGGCAGCAATTGCTCACAAGCATCCTGCCGCAGCCTATGACTAAGCAACATCTAAACAGGTAGGGTACGTCTAGACTGGCATGATTTTCCGCAAATGCTTTTAACGGAAAACTTTTCCGTTAAAAGCATTTGCGGAAAATCATGCCAGTCTAGACGTACCCTACCTGTTTAGATGTTGCTTAGTCATAGGCTGCGGCAGGATGCTTGTGAGCAATTGCTGCCCGTCCTATGGGTCTGTACTTAATAATATGAAGCAGCCCTGATATAGCATATCACTCAAGCTATGCCTTTGCTAATATTCATGTCCCTTTCACTTTTCCAGGCTTGATTGTAAAGCACCTTCAGAAAACCTTTAAGATGCCCAGCTCCTTGCAGCTCTCCTCTTCTGTGGCTCTTCCCCAGCACTGCACAGGTGGCAGCCCCAGATATGCCACATGTAAAGGGTTACATTATGCTAGCCAGAAGCTCCTCGCTGTGCTGCAGAAACCACAAATCCAAAGTGAAGATGCTTCCAAGTACTAAAGACCTGGCAACCCACTTCCACTCTGAGCAGGGCTTAGAACAGGGATGGGGACCTTTTTGGGGTGGGGGACCACCGACCCACACAAAAATCAGTCACGGGCCACACAGACATGAGAAGCAAAGTGAGAAGCTCCTGACTGAGAAGGAAGACGACACTCCTCACACTCCCCTCGCACACCAGAGCACTAGTAGATTTTGTGTGCTCCAGCCTGTGAGCGGGGGGCTGAAGCGCCAGCACAGGCTCCCCAATGTGGGGGGATCCCTGAGCCTTGGGGGCCTGGTGCAGGCAAGCTGGGGGCCGCATCCAGCCCCCTGGCCAGATTTCCCCATCTCTGGCTTAGAAGATGCAGCGCAGGCAACAGAGATCATGGGCCAATGCTTCAATGAGCTGAAATCCTTTCTCCTCCCAAGCCAGAGATCTTATGATACAATAATCAGGTTTTATTCCACAGCCTCCTAAAACCAGCTTCCCCAGAATAATCTGCCTATTACAGAGTCCCTTCCTAAAGAACACATTTAAGATGTGACCAGTTTCCAGCTAACCTCAGAATAGGACAACACAAACACCATTTTCAGACGATCGTCACACTAGGGATGTTAAATTTTGATTTAATCAGCTAATCAAGTATCTGATGAAATGTCTGCTGTGCCTCTGCCTTTTAAATGTAGTAAGAGCCACCCGCAGCCCTTACTACATTTAAAAGGCTGAGACACAGCAGTCAGGACCCAGCGTGCTTCAGTCCCCGCTTGTGCCATTTCTCCCACTGTGCCTCTGCCTCCCCTACCCCACTGCGGAGATGATGCTGGGGAGAACCGTCTCCTGCTCCCCTCCTTGCTGCCTCAGTTACAGGGGCAGCAAGCGGGAGGGGAAGCAACTAGTTGAGTAGTGATTCGACTACCCGATAAGCCTAGGTTTATTGAGTACTCAACTAGTAGCTTTCATCCCTACTTCACACCTCTCCTGGCTTCCACTCTATCCATGATCGATCCCCTTATCTCTAGTATTACAGTGCCTCCAAAACAGCAGCCTCCCACATCCTTGTGAAGTAGGTCAGCCTCTGCCATTTTGCAGAAGGAGAAGTGGCAGCATAGAGACATTAAATGACTGCCCAAAGTCATTACCAAATCTGGAAATAGAACCTAGGAGTTTGGCTTTTCATGCCCCACACTAACCCTTAGGTCACAAGCCTTCTTTGTAGGTGGTGGCAGGAAGGAGAAACAGTCGGCTTTGAAATATACATTAGCCTTTGAAACCAGCTGAGAATGACATTGTTGCAGCTCCTACATCTTTCCCTCCAGGAACTCCTGTTGGATTAGTCTGGGCTCACATCCTATTCCCCCCATCCCTCCCTCCCCGCCCCCGCACACTCACCTGTTACCCCATTCCTCTTTGAATTGCATTTTTTGTCCAGAAGCTTGAAGGCTATGAAATCCTTGTGCCATTTCTCTACCGACTCCATTGTCCTTGGAGCTGCAACAGTGAAAAAAACAAGAAATCAAGACCTAAACACACAGCTGCTCACCTTTAACATTGGGAGATCTGGCCTGCTGGGAAACAGAAGAATGAAGCTGCCAAGCCACACAACAACTGGTTCTTTTTTTCTGATAAGATCACATCACATAATAGCGTGTGTATATAAAAGGGAGATAAGCCTGAACCTAATCTCGAATGCAGCCATGCCCCAAATTTCAGGGTGTTTGCAAAATTTGGGGCCATATATAAAATAAGCTCCGATTGGACATACACAAGCTTTTAAAAGCCTTTTCTTGTGTACGGTGAGAAAAGCTCGGCTTCCCACTTGAAAGAAATCACAGTCTGAGTAGCTGCACATACATAGATAACATTAAGCAGTTTTGGACAATGGAGTCAGCAGCAACTGCCCTTACAATTCATAATCATGGAGCTGGCCTGTACTTCAGATAGGGAAGCAACTTTGTTGTCCATGGTCAGTTATGATTTTCACCACTGGGCCCAATCTGTCCCATTAAATATAGCCCAAAACCAAGTATTGTATTAGTTACTTGTCATCTGCTAGGAGGTAAATTAAGAGAGAAACCTTAAGGGTGGGAAAAAAAATCCCACATCTCTATTGTAACATTGATAACTGCAGCAGATTATTCTGGGAGAGAGAAAGGGTTTTTTTCCCCTCTTGCTGGAACCCCACAAAACCTGGTCCAGAAAGTGATAAGAGAAGGGGAAAGAGAGAGGTGACAATTCTAAAGCACTACACTGCAATAGTGCTTAACTTTTAAGAGACTGATCCAAAACTAACAAAAAAGCAGGAGCGAGAACGTGAGCTCTTGGGGAGTGTCCAAAAGCCTAGTGCCCATCCAAACTTTGGACAGGTAAGAGCAGCAAGTCCTGGGCTGGAGGAGTATTGGTACCAGGAGCCAGCAGCCGGGAGCAGGTGCCAAGGGATTAACCAGGAAAATAAATGCACACACAGAAGCTAGTGCCTGCTTTGGGGAGTTGGAACTACTTTGCAAGCCCTCAGGCACCCCAGAACACAGGTGGGGAGAGCCCCAAGGCAGCAGGGAGGGATGAGGCAGCCCTCCCCTACTCACCGCTGCTGTTCCCCAAGAAAGACGGGTCTGAGAGGAGGCACAGAGGAGAGACACCCGCTTCATTCCCCTCCTCCAGCTTCGGCACAAAGACCCCGCGCCTCAGCCTAGTGCCTCCTTCCCAGTCCCACACTCCCCGCCACCCACCCCCTGCAAACTCAACTCCAGCCCAGGCTGGCTCAGCCCCCCGCATCCCTCCCACTCAGCCCCCA